ACATGCAATTTTAATTTTAAAAAATATTGAGATTTAAACGGGATATACATTGAAAATCGTGTTCATATTTTTTTGTAACAAAATCGGGTCATCTTTGATATTTAAAGTCAATCCTAAACCAATATTTTAGATGAAAAAAAATTCAAATCAATTTTAAAATCTTCTGCGACTTTTACAAGAAAAATTTTTGTGCAACTTTTCGAAATTTGGATGCACCAGTTTTTTTGGATTCTTAAGTTTTGTGTTAACTATGTTTTACCGAGATTTTGGTTGGTTATATCATTTTTTTATGAAAGAAACAGTTGCATAAATCTTAACTAATAATTTTAAATTTTTATTTGAATTAATTTCAGTTCAATTTGTTTGTTAAGAAAATCAGTGCAATGTTAGGAAAATTCGATTGCATTTTTAGGGAAAATTGATTATTCATTTCACTTTGTTTTAACCATATATTCGATTCAATTTGATTGGTAAAAAAATTTGCATTGGTAAGAAAATACAGTTCCATTTTTAGGAAAAACTAACGATTCTTTCCGAATTTTTTAATCAAAATTTTGAATTAGATTCAAAAATATTGTACAATACTAGAATTTTATTAATAAATAAGATCTCTTAATTTTTTTAGAAATGTAACTAGTACGAATCTCGTGCGATGCACGGGTAAGATACTCATTAATATTTATAAATTAAAAATGCTTCTTAGATAATATTTATAAATTAAAAATACATAATCATTATGCAATACAATTTACTTATTAATTTATTGAAAATGTTATGACATGTACATAAAACGTGTCTATTTAAAATTAGCACACAACTCGTACGGTGCACATAACTGATAATAAATTACATTATATTCATTTAAAAATAAATGTAATTTAAAAATTTATATTCAAAATTTTGATTTGACGACAATGTGATTCTATAAAATAATTATTATGCTAAAATCTACATCTATGTATATTGGAAGAAGTAGATGGAATAATCTAAGGAAAATGCTATAAGTACATAATAAATGTACATAGAGATATACATAACACTCACATGTAGTGAGGTCCACTTGATTTTTTATTTTTGGTGGGTCCCACTCAATGTGAGTGTTATGTACACCCTATGTACACTATTATGTACCTATAGCATTACTTATCATCTAATAGTAACTTTGACTTTGTAATTAATTGGATTGACTTGCTATTAAAGGAAGTATTGTAAAAAATACTTTAATAGTTATAAAAAAATTAAAATAAAATTATACAAACCTGTTGTAAATCATGTAACTTCGTTAATAACACAAATATATATACAAATCAAGTGGTATCAATTTAAAATTATTTTGTAATAATTATCACAATAAAAATCATATTTTTCGTATTAATTAGTGAAATTTTTATTTTTTTGGTGACCAACCACCATGTCTTTAAAAACCATCTATCAAATAGTAATTTTTTTTTTTTTTTTTTTTTTTTTTTTTTTTTAATAAAATATGATTTGAATATGCATGATAAAATTACAAATATAATTACAAAATAAAAATTAAAATTAAGTTATGAAAATTTTATTATGATATTTATCACAATGTTACAATAGAATCTTATTTATCAACTTTAATAATAAATCACGGTGATTTCTTATTCATTTGGTAATCAACCATATACAAAAATATTTTTTTTTTATCATATCTTAAAATAAAATCAAAATAATTAGTTTATAATTCTTTGATTTATCATATCTCAACTGATTCAGTTTTTCAGAAATTGTAAACTGCAATATTCCACAATATTAAAGAGATTTAACGATTTATTTTTAATAAAAAATCAATCTTTATTATTAATAATAATAATTAAGTGCATTCCAGATTTTACCTATAACAATTTAATTATCATAATATCTCTTCTCAAAATTCATATAGGAAATATTTACCTTGTATTTTTTATTCTTACTCAAATGATTTGATTGAATTAACTTTGAAATTAAAAAAAAATTATTTAAAAAATAAAAGAAAATAAATAATTAATACACAATATTGAAAATATGTGAAGTCGCCCTTATGACAAGATATTATTGCACCACATGAACTAATCGCAAATTACCTCCTTTTCTTGTTACTTTTTCATATGTATTAATATATATTATGCATTCTAGAATTATTTAGTACTATTTTCCCAAAAATGGATTAACATTAATTCTGTAAAAGATCAACTGAATAAATATGAATTGGTTGTATAATTGTCATAAACCGTTTTGCATAAATTTTTGTTAATGTTCCAATAAAAAAAAAATCGCCACTTAATTTATTTCCTACAGAAGACCATCAAATATCAAAAATAAAATCATCCATTTTATACTATATATTCATTGACTCATTTTTCCATAGAAAAGACCATTAGATATTAAAAAAAAAATTACTCACTTTATACCATAATTAATTGATTTATTTCTAGATATAGTAAATAATTTTTTTGGCGGGAAATAGTTACTATTTAAAAAATAATCAAACCTTTATATATATATATATATATATATACATATATATATTTGTTAACTAATAACTAATAATAAGCAATTTTAGATAAAATTTGAACACCCATGTAGTATTTTACATCCCACAGAATCTAATCCAAGAATGTTGTACATAACAAAGTGTTCAGTAATATATAAATTTTACTTTTATGACACTTTTAATACCATGAGGCAATTTAAATTAAAAAAATCTATATATATATTAAAAGCCAACCTATTTACCAAAAATAGTAACAAGAAAAGTCAACACACATTTAATGCATACCTTATTTGGAAATTTTTTACTATATTCATTAAATGCTTGCATATTTACATTTATTATCCAGATATGATCTTAAAGATTTTTTCCTTAAATAATTTATGCAATGATTTTACTGATATCCATTATAATTAATATTTGTCGAGTAATATTTTTTAACCTTTATTTAATTATATAAAACTAATATTTTTCTTAAAAAAATAATATTATTTATCATTTAAAAGATAATGATCACATCATTAAATGATTTTATTGATGGTTAGATAATAAAATTATATTAGTTATTCTTTAAAAAATTTACTAAAATAAAAACAGGCTTAAGAAAAATAAATCCCATAACATCCGATAAGTCAAAAAAAGTACGTAAAATCTTTACTAAAATAAAAAGACTTTATTTATTTGTCTTATTCCATAATAACATCGATTTAGTCAAAACAAATCCCATAATCGGTGAAGTCAAAAAATGTACGTAAAGCCTATTTATACTAAAAAAAGACAGATTCAAATTTTTTTTATCTAATTTCTGTTTAAAGTATTTTATTTAATATTTATTTATTTGAAATATTGGATAGGATTGTTGGATCTGAGTCAATTTTGAAATCGCGTTGTTTGGTATGAGAGGATTATCTGCGTCCTATATATGTCTAAAGTATATTATTTTATATTATTTAATTAATTTATTTAATATTAATTTTTTTTATCCATGATATCAGTTTTGTCAAAAAAATTGAACAAACAAACAAATAAAAAAGAAACGGGATTAATTACCTTCGACTTGTAAAAAATTTATGGGTGGACGTAAATATTTAACAATGTTGTTTAAAGTTCCTTAAATAATACTATAACTATGATATTGAAATATAATTTGTTTTATGAATGACGTAAATATGCTGTTTAAAGTTCCCTAAAATAATTTTTTTTAAAAATTATGTTGTTTAAAGTTCCTTAAATATTAATATATTTAAAGTATACACATGTTGTAATATATTAAAGTCAAAACAATGTTGGAAGGCTTTTGAATTATCTAAGTTAATTAATTTAAATATTTAATCCCATTAAATCTTCAATCCATGGAATATTTTTATTAATCCCGTGAGCATGTTGTTTTGTTATTGTAATTAACTTATACAGTATTTTACTAATAAATTATTTAATATCTATGTACAAGGAGGTCTTTAATAATATATGATTTTTTTGTCAGATACTATTTTATTGTATAATTTTCCTGCGTACTCTAAAACTTTTATTGAATATTGCATCTTATAATATAATATTCCCTAAATAAATATATCTCGTGTCTAGCACCGGTCTCGTACTATATATATCTCGTATATTTTTTTTATTCATTTATATAATTATAAGGCTGGATAAATAACCTTAAAATTGTGCACCTCGTGCATCGCACGGGCTCTGTACTAGTGCTTTCTAAAAAGCAAGTATGTAATAAATGCTCCCGTACATCGCACGAAAAAATGTACTAATTATTATTAAAAGATTGATCTTTATTGAAAAGGCTAGCCACATTATCATATTCAACAAATCCAAAATTTTGTGTCTAAAATTCCACAACAATTACGGTATCTAATTGTAGAATACAATATT